AGCTGCAAGTACTTTCAGTCCATACATGACTTTTGAATTCATCATTTAAAATACAGTATCTGAATTCAAATATTTCTTCTTTTTCAAGGAGCATATGAACTTTCAATATCTGACTGAAATCTCTGCTAGACACAAAAGTACTTCTAAGATTTAGGAATAGTTGCTGTAGGTTGCTATATCAGAAATACTCTTCAATGTTGTTCTCTTGTTATTTTCACCATGATGTTATATCACCCATGGCAATTATTGATAAGCAACACTTTCAATAATTCATTTCTATTTATATATACATTACATATACATGCAGCAAAATTGCTATCAGTACTTTAAAGAATATAACTTTAAAGTATATAGTTTAGTGAAATGGTATTATATATCCTTTCAAAAAGATTTTTTATATGGTGGTAACTGAATTTACCCTAGTACTGGGATCATTCCACCGGGACTATTCCAAATCATGAGATATCCCATTCATGTGATATTTGGGATGATTGATCCCAGAGATAAAAATAATGGGACAGACCAGGGAAAATCAACCTCTTAGGTGGATAGATGTACAGTGGGTGATCAACCTAAATGCTAAGCTGTTAAGGGTGTCTGAAGTGCTACATATAGCTTTTACTCTGGTGCCAGCCCCTTCTCAGATAGCTAACCTATCATTGGATAGTCCTATGTAAGATATTTTCATCAGGGTTTAAATAAGAAATATCTTGCATCTAATTTGAGGCTTTCACTTATTACAGTCTCACTCAATCCACAAATCTAATTTTTGTGTTTGTCATACATCCTAGTAATCAATGAATATGTAAATCTAATATTATATTATATCATATTTGAAACTCCAAAAACCTAAGGTCAAAAAGTGCACCAATTATTATCTTCTTATTATCTAGTGTTCTCAGAGTTTTCCAGCTACTCTGTTCATTTTTACAGAGTAATTGTGTGTTGGTTTGTGCTCAAACATACAATTCTAACTGGTAAGCCACTGGTGCAACTAATCTGGGAGGGGCTATTTTTTCTGTTATATGTCCCTGACACCTTGTGACATGTGACATTTCTTTGGGATTATCTCTGGGATAATCCCAGTGGGATTTGACTAAACATGCACCACCTGGGGATTATCCTAACTTCTGGGATTTGCCTAAAAAAATAGACATTTAGGTTGAAAGGTTTACATATAATTTTCAACCTAAATGCCACCATTTGGGAGTGACTGAAGTGTGATTGGCTCCATGGGCATATCAAATCAAGGATAGCACCCTTAAGACTTTTTGCATCATCTGATCTTGCTGTAGAACCCCCTTTTTGTATCTAATAAGGTCAGGGCAAAGATTAGTACATGCAATATATGCTACATACAAGTTCTGCAATGGTGACAACAGTATCAGCTTCACATGTACAAAGCAGTTGTTACGATAACACAATTTTTGGACCTTTCCTTCTTTTTCATTCTCCGCTTTAACCTTGTACACTTTAGCTTTCACATAGGGTGCCACGTGGCACTTCCCTTTTTGTTCAAACTCCTCTTTCTCGTGCTGCGTTGCCTTCTTCTTACTTTAGATATAACTCTCTCACACAGTGGAGCTGGTCATGTGGGCTAGGCCCCATGACATCATCAGCCACTGACTTTATCAACTGTACAGTACATAAGTACAAACACTCTGTATTAGTATATATACCCCAATAAATCCAGGAGACTCCTTAGCAAGTCCTCCTGTTGTATACCAACAAACTCTCTGCAGCTTAAGGTGTAACCACTCCCTCAACATCTTCTTTATAGTGTGTTCTTGTGTGCGCCAGAGTAACTAACTCTTGGTTGTTACAGCAGTTCCTCCAAACCAGGTACTAGCTGAAGTAAGGCTTGAAAAATGCGGGATCTGTGCCTTTCTCTGCTTTGCCAACAATATAGAAACATGAACAAAAAAAGTTGATGTACTTGAATGTGAAAGATTCCTCAGGCTCCTCTGATCTATCTCCATGACAAGAAATACCACAAGAAAGCAGTGCCTGAATGTTACAAAGAGCATGTATAGATTGCTCAAAGTGTCATCCATAATGGACTTAAGGATCAGTTTGACAGCTAACTCTGCTGCAAACACATGAGTTTGATAACTAAATGAATTTACTGACAGTCTCTTCCTAGGGCCAAGGTGAAGAGCACTATTATTCTCGGTGTCTCTCTGGTGTCTACAGCTGAAAGAAGGGGAATAAGGGCCTGTGTTGGAGCAACCAGGAAGTATTCAAACTGTGGTGTACCGGGTGAAAAAACAAAAGGAAGCCTATACAAAATAAGGCCAGAATGCAATCAGCAACTTTTAAGACAAATAAGGAAGAATCAGAGCACAAACAAGATGTTGTGAATTGAGCAATGCATACCAGAGAGAGTCAAGACAATAAATGAGACTACAAGGCAGTCAACAGATTATGCACAAATAAGATAGGACAATCAACTGAACAAACAATGTCTCCTAGACACTGCAAAGGCAAGTGATGATAGTATTAGAATGATAGATTGAAGGAAGTGCCTAGCCACTTGCTGAGCTCTCATGGACAGAACTAGAGTCCAATGTGAGTAACTGGATTATTAGAGAGTACAGGAGGTGTACAGTACCCAGAGTTCAATGTGAGTAAGTAAAGAATAGAAAGCATTGCATCAGCAAACCAAAGAGTCCGTGGGATGCCTCTCCACATAATAGAGATAAACAAGAAATACCACAGGTCTCAGATGCAAAAATAAAACCATAGAAAATGGTCAATATTTTCCTACTATTACAAAAGGTACCAATTTTTGCAAGTCATTTTAGAGATGTCACACCAGCATTGGAATTCATCTGTCAACTGAGCTACATATTCCTTACTATGGTGGTGCACACAAAATTTTTGCTAGGATATGTATTTCCCCAGAGGTAAATATCATTACAGTAGGCTTCTCTAATCCCCAAGTATTATCAGCGAACATTTTCACAGAAATATATTACAAGTACAATTCAACTGTTGTTTAGTACCTTGATTCCAGCAACATATCGGTTTTACAAAACAACTGTAGCATGATGTATGTTCAGCTTGAATATTGAAACTGTATAGCAATGCTCGGATTAATCTGGGTTACCATATTGGGGACATTGTCTATCTGACCTCAGTTACCCATCTGGGTAATGATCATACCGTAGTCCACCCAGCATGTAAGTTCATGTAGGACACATGTATGTTATGCGTGAGGTGGATATTATTATGGGACTCTTCCTAGCTTTTCTTGCGGTCTGAACAAGGACTCAAGGCTGAAGAAGAGCAAAATCAAGGCTCACGGACTTCAGCATTCAAGTCACGGTTGTTCTTAATTAAGTACAGTATTTAAGACTTGGCCACAGTAGACTACCCTATAGATCTCCCTACATTGATAACAACCCTACATCCAGACTGCCTGCGCACTAACAATGAGTGAGTGATTCAGGTGCTACCAATATTGTTCTTTTGATTAACCTGATATTTGTAGATCAAGACAATCTTTTAAATTTTCAAGACTTCCCATTATTTCCAGCTTAAAATTTTGATGATGATGTGCCATCCATTCAACTTCCCGATTATTTGACCCAAAATAACAATCTAGCCCCGCAGCTAATGTATGAAGACAGGGATGGTGAGTTTTCCTTTAGCTAACTCAAATTATCAGCGCTGATCACACTTTCTGAGTTAGTCATTTGAGCTGACAACAGTTTTACATATATGGCAGCCTGTTCAGGTTTATTGTCAGATCCAGTGGTGTTAACCACTGATGATGATTTAAACAATGTATGTTCATCTACTTCCTTATATACATTTTACTGACCATCTTCTTAGGTCACCTTCTTGAGCTCTGCACCTCTTCATTTGTGGTCTAGCGGCAGCTCTTTGATGTCAGGTACCGGTGAATCATATCTCTTTCTATCCAGTTTGTGATTACCGATTTTAATAATTTGTGTAGATCGCTCACACACTGCTTCCATGTTGGGGCTAGTAGGACCCAAACCATTGTACCTACGTCATTCACAGTGTTATTTGCTCATACTACTAACTTGAAGTCTTGTTTTAGATGCTTGATCCCCGTCATAACAACCACTACTTCCTCCAAGATTCCCCAGACCACCTCGACCATTTTCCACTGTAACCATTTGTACCACACCCTTGCAAGCAACTGTAGCACCAGACAATCTACATTCAGGCTTGTACTTACCACTCAACACTCCAAGTCCAAACTTGGACTTGGATCCTGGGCCTTCAATCTATCCAAGTTATAATCTCTTTGTGCCGCCAATTGCAACCCCCCAAGCCACTTCAAGTCAGCCTAGGACAACTTGTTGGCATATCCGGTTTGTGATACACTCACATTCTATTATTTTATCCTTTTATTTCTTCATTTCCATACACCATTCTTTTATCTCTACTTGACTGCTTTTCCACTACATTATATAAGCTCAAAATGTTCCCACACTTATTCCAAAAACTCGTAGCACTCTGCCTTACACAAACCTCAGTCTCTTGATTATGAGACTGAGGTATGTCTGGTTATTTTACAGTTTACTTTATACCATCATACTCACTTTACACTATTAGAAATACTCTCTTTTAGGTAGATTATCCTTCAATTTTAGTCTCTTGATTATAAGACTGAGAAATACTCTCTTTTAGTCTTCTCATCGCCTAACACAACTAATAGAAGGTCCCACAATTCAAGATCACACCCCATACTCCCTTCAGCTCAGCTGCCCCCGGTTCAGCAATCTCAGTTCATATCCTACACCCCTCCACATCTTGCGTCAAAATCACCAACATCCCAAGTCCCTCCGACAGCATCTTCTTTGACTTCAAATTCACAGCCATTGAGTGGATCACAATGATCATGGCGTAACACTGTGACCCAGAATCAGCCTTGGCAGACTCAAATGCAGCAGATGTCTCCTAGGCCCCATTCAGAACCCAAAACAACATTTGTTCATTTTTCACCACCACGCTCTCCAGTTCACATGCCTAACCCCGAACTGCCTCCCTCAGCAGATATCCCATCAGCACTCCCACCTTTATTTGATGCACTATGCTCTCTGGATCTGAACAATCCCACCCCCTGGATAGCCTCACTCGGTGAAAACAACTACATGAAGATTGTGAAGGATATCACATTGTTTATCATAAGAGCTTTTGAGCTCTATGGAGCTCCTGTTGCAAAAGCACAAGGTAGGAACGACTAGGCAGTAGACATAGCTAAGTGTCTGACGAAGAAATGGAAGAGGGTTAAGTACCGCTTGCTTTTACATCTCGCTAGATGTTCTCGCTTACCGTAGTTCCACAGAGGTCTCATTAGATTTCAAGAACAAGCATGGCAAAACTTTAGTAGATCAGGTATGTGTCTCCTTGCGCTGGCTACTGAATGCTTTTTGCTAACATATTTTACAGATTGGCATCGCTGGTGCTAGTTGGACATCAAAAATTCAAAACTACTTGGAGATCGTCAACAAGATCTTTGGACTGGTGAATGGATCTATGCCTGGCTGGGCACAGAGGAGGATCACACAGGTAAGGGCATCAATATTTGCCTTTGGCAATGTCTCTTCGGATCCTACTCCTGAGGTACGTGGACCTATCCGTTAGGATTAGATCTAACAATCTTTCTAGGATGGCCCTACGGGCCCCAAGTTAGCTAGATTTGTTAACATGGGGCTTGCCACCATTGTTAATTATTTTCTTATAATTTTGCAGACCTTACTCACGCTTGGTATGCAAGCTACCAGCACAAATATGGACACCCTCCTAATTGGATCCCTGATGTCACAGTAGCTTTCCTTGTTACAATGGTAAGCGCTCAAATCTCTCATCACACTGACGCAATTGACAACAACTGGATTCAATAGAGGCTTGATGGCTTTGTTGGCAACAACTTTGTCAACAACCGCATATTTGACAAGAGTTCACTTAGGACACATTTTGTTGTAATACCTGTGCATGCAGTTCATATGCCTTGACAGTACCATTTGACTTCTTCCATGCAATGTAGTGTTTGAGGCTGTGGATCTCTAAATCTGTTAGGCTGCTTGGCTCTGAAACAGAGGATGGATGGGGGAACAACTGGACACTTGTCTCTATCTAAGAGTTTTGCTTGCAGGTCCCTTTGAATAGGAGAATAGTTGGCAACAGTACTATTACTGTGGAGTATATGAGGATTCTCATCATCCAAGTCAGCATCAGCACCATAGCTGGCTGGATCATCCTGGCATTAGTGTGAGGTGGGGAGAGTGGACAAAACACAATTGCAACCCAACACTGTGGTGCATCAGATAAGAAAGTGCCCAAAGAGGAAGCTAACTAATAGATATTTGTTGCGTGAACACAGGCTGCTCGTTGCTTGCCATGTCAACAACAATTCTACATACAATGGACCCTCTGCAGCCTTACAACAACCCACTGTCATCAAGTCTGTACTATAGTAAAATTTCCTCATTCAAATTCCACTCACTTAGTACGACTAATGACATTATTTTTCTCCAAGTTCCTCCTCTCTATGCTACATCTGCCCCACAGCCCACAACCTCAGCCCCATTGATTGCAGTCAACCCACTCTTGATCGAATCGCTCAGCTTTGAGGACATTCTGAAAAATCATCACTTCAGCGCCACAGTTCAAAAATATCAAATTGCGGCTGATCAGTTCCTTGAGAGTCAAGCTTACCAGAACAAGCTCGCCGGGCAGATTGAGGGGCTACTTGCTAAAGAACACATCCACATCCACCAGCAACATGAGTCGGAGGAAAAAATCCGGAAGTATAAAGATGAAGTACAAGAATTGACTAAGCAAAACATTAATTTACGACAAGAAAACCACCACCTACTACAAGAAGTTTCACACCTGCAAACTGCCCTGGGTCATCAAACAAATTCTGTGTAAGTGACCTATGCAACCTGAATTCTCTACTGACAGTCTTTTTTATATATTCTAGTGCAGGAATATCTACCATCTATCTGTTACAATTAACATACCAGCACCTACTTACGCTTCACTTTTGTACTTCTACTTTTATTTTCCAAGTCACATGACCAGTCATGTGACCATTTACTTTACTTTACATTTTCGACTTTTCATAGTCACATGACCAGTCATGTGACACATCACCTGACCAGTGTCTAGACTCATCATGTGACCGGTCACATGTTAGACATCGGACTTTGAACTTTATTTACAACTGTACAGTACCTCATGTATTTTAGTATATATACAAGAGCAATACATGGGGAAGGACTCAGCGAGTCCTCCTGTTGTCTAGCACAACTAACTCACTGCAGCCTAAGGGGTAACCACTCCCCATCATCTTCTTCATAGTGTGTTCCTGTGTGCGCCAGAGTAAATAACTCTTGGTCGTTACACTATCTGAGCGACTTTGTGTCACATGCTGCCAACCCAACCCCAGCACGTTTAATAGTATCTACAACTGAAGCCCAGCCCCCCAGCCCTGCCCTGATCAATACCCATTTGAGATTCTATGGGAATTTGATGACTGCAAAAAGGACGAGGATGCTGGACTAACAGCTCAGAACCCCGCTCAACCTGCAATAGAATGTGCTGTCCGACATGCTGATGGCACCATGATCTCCAGCGAGGAATGGACCGCCATCAAAGCTACCACCCGCGTCACTCAAAACAAGCTCGAGCAGTTGCCCCTGCCAAAGTGTCGATCCCAGAAATGGTCGCGGAATTACTATCAATCTGTGTACCCGGCTCAGTGGGCAGCTATCATCCAAGAGATGGAGCAGCAGCAGCCGCTGCTAACTCTATGTTAGAACCATTGGAAGACCAAGCATGTCCTTGGCCAAATGTTGAGGTCTAGTAAGCTGGTTGATGAGGTGGCTATTAGCAATGACAATGAAGACACAACTCTCACTGCTATCTCATCAGAAACAGAAACAGGAACAGGAACGGAAGCTCAAAAATGACGTTGAGCAAGGTCAAGTGTCTTGGAAACAGCAAAGAAACAACGGCCAGTGAGCAGCGCAGCTCTAGAGGCCATGTCAGAGGTACAGATGAGGATAGACAACTCATCCTTGGACGCATTGATGCCTCCACCCACTACCAGCCAGTCCTTTTTTTCTTCTCCTCTTACTACTACTGTACTGACATCAGATTTTCAGTACCTATTCGAAAATCACTTCCTCCCCATCATTTCTGTCTGTTGCCTCAAATAAAGGGTCCAAAAAATACAATGTCAACTTTATAGAGGTCAGCTCCTCTATCTTGACTTGAAAAGTACATTTTTTTCATTATTTTTCACTTATTCATACACTAACAAAATCTAGCTATCATAACTCGCAACCTTGACTCCAACTCCTTTGGTATCAACCTTCTCAACGCTATGGAACTATTAAGAACAAAGCTTGAAGGAAGTGTCTAGCCACTTGCTGAGAGCAATCAGGGACTGGAACTAGAGTCCAATGTGAGTAACTATATTATTAGAGAGTATGACAGGTATACAGTACCTAGAGTCCAATGTGAGTAACTAGAGAATAGGGAGCATTGGACTCTGCAATACTGTCCAAAGTTTTGTAAACAAAGGTAAACAAAGCAGCCATAAAGGCAAAATAATAGAGAACACAATCAATAGTGAATGATAGAAGAATAGATAGAGAAAGGAATGAAAATATATAGGTAGCACAAAGGTGCAGAATCACCAAAACTAACAGGAACTCTCTACAGGCTTCTCCCCCGGCCCCCCTTCCTCCCTTGTGCTCAAATTTATTGAGCGCATCGAGTGTGCTGACCCCAATTCCCCCAAATTCAATGAGGATGACCATGGTGTTTCATGGGGCCATCATCAGTTTACGTTGGGTTCAATGACGTCTTCCTCTGTACTAACATCTTGGACTGCAATAGGTAATTGCGAGACGGCAAGACATCTAATCGCTGCAACGAGGCACATATGTTTCCAGGAAAAGATTTTGTCCTTGACCTTCCTTGCCGACAACTATCTCAACAATATACTTGAACAAATCTGGGCTGCCTGGAAGGCAGCTGGAGGAGTAAGTTCTTTCCCTCATTTCATAATATTCAAACTGATGCTACTTTTACAGCCGGTATCTAAGGGAAAGGCTTCTTCAGCGGTCTCTATGACATCAGCCTCTGCGTCTTTCATTTCAACAGCTACAGATCCCCCCTCTTCTGTCTTGTCAGCATTGGCTCTCACTTTCCTTGTCTTAGTGGCCACCTCTGTCTCATCAATGGAACAATCCACAGTGGGTGGGTCAGATTTGGCCGGCAAAGATGATCGTTGTGCAGGGTTACAAGTAAGTCATCACCAAGGTCCATCAATATATCTATTGACTCACATTCGGTTTACAGGTCTTGCAGAAGAGGAGCTGATGGAATGGATCAAGGCTAGTGGGAATGTCATCACTAACCTGAAACAGCGGACAAAAAAAGGTGATTGTCAATTTTACACTTCGATATCATCTCACATGGTTTCACAGATCTGGTCACCATTATCCTGGCCTTACCCATCAAGAAACAGCCCTCCGAGGTGGAAGTCGAGTCTATTATGTCCAAGGCAAGTGGCCCGCTATATCTCTTACTAAACTACTAATTTACATTACTATTACAGCGGAAGGCGAAGAATGTAACATCCAAATCCAAGAAGTAATCAGTGGTTCTCTTGTCGTCGTCATCATGTTCTTTAGGAAATTTTTTTATTGTCATCATTGTGTATATGCTTTTCTTTTGGACTGATCAGGAGCTCTCATTGTCATTATGTTGTGATTTTTGTATGCTTTTGTATATTATTGTATGCTCTGTGCTACTAGGACTCAGCAATGTGACTACGTTGGACTTAATATTGGACTTTGATTGACTGTTACTGAACTTCCAATGACTGTTATTATGTCAATTGGACTACATCAGATTTCAGATGAACTGGACCTTGCTGGACTCTCACTGGACTATGTTCTATGTTCCCCGAGAAATAAGACTTCATTAGACCCGTTACAGGACTATTTATACGGATTCTAGTCATAGTTCTTGCATATCAGACTGTTGCTGGATTATTATTGACTACATGTGACTACACTTTTTACTGAGGGTAATGGGTGGCTTCAGATAAACAATTTTGGTCCCATCATTACTGCTATTTTCAAAACACTTGTCACAGGTGATACTTTACACTTTTATAACCTCAAACTCATGAGAATTTTAATTCCATCATTTTTGGGCCTAATTCTATAATTCTTGATGATCCTGAAAGGTAAAAATAAGCCCTAGATGCTGGTATAAAAATAATACTTATATAGAAAGAAAAAATATTAGTATTAAAAATGCCCTTATACTGAGGATATATGAATTTTCCTGTCCATTTCATTCACATAAGTGAAGAGAAGTAGGCTATAAACTAAAGCTTTAAGCTTATGCTATATGCTTGTACAACCTATTGGTATCTATACATATTCAAATATATTTTTAAGAATAGATAACTAGTTTCACAAAACTGTAACTGTAGTATAATATGGGTTTATATAGACTTCAAGTTATATAACTAGTACTAGCACCTCATAGAAGTATAATGCCTACTTTTTATATTTATTTGTTCACATTTATGACAATAGAACAACCAGGAAAATTCATGCATCCTCAGTATAAGGGCATTTCTAAGACTAACATAAATTTGTTTCTATATAGATATTATCTTGATGCCAGCATCTACAACTTATTTTTACCATTTAGGATCATCAAGAATAAATAGAATTTGGTCCAGAAATGTTGAAATCAAAATTCTCATGAGTTTGAGGTCAAAAAAGTATGAAGTGTCACCTGTGACAAGTGTTTTAAAAACAACAGTAATCTATGCATATTCCTATTATATATATTACTAAATCTATCACATGTTTCACAACCATGTCTATTTTTATGACACATATGTTTTTAGAATGCCTGACTGACAATAAAGGAACTGTGTTTTTATGGACACATATCTTTTTGCAAGACTACATTACATTATATTACAAATACTTTACCAAATTTTCATAAGCAAGTATAGTACCATATGGAATGGTATCCTCACTCACCCAATTTGCACTTCAGGCACCCCCAGGAGCCTAACATTTAGATTGATCACCCACTGTACATCTATCCACCTAAAACGTAGATTTTTCCTGGTCTGTCCCACACTTTTTGCCTCTGGGATCATCCCAAATATAATATAAATGGGACATCCCATTATTTGGGATGGTCCCAGTGGGATGAACATAGTACTTGATTAGCAATTACCACCATATAACATTGTTTTCACAGGATGGATAATATCATTTTACTGTGTTATATATATATTTTTTAGAGGCTTATTGCTGAAATGTTGACACATGTATGTAATGTAAATATAATCCAAAATGAAATAACACATAGAGTATATTTGTGGTCATAAAAGGAAAAGTATGCTTCAGAGTATTACAAATTATTAATTGCCAAAGGCTACATAACATCATGATGAAACTCAAAACAGCACAGTCTGAAAAATATTGCCAATACACCAACTGATACAACAACCACAAAAATTATCAAACCTGTGAAATGCCTCTACCCCTTGTAGAGACTTTGGAAATATTTTGAACTTTTGATATTCTCTTTATGAACTAATAGATGTTTGAATGCAGGTTTACTGAAGTGTTGAATGATGAATCATATATCACATGGATAACTAGAATATGTCTGGCTATTTGTGCTTAGGAATGCTTATTCTTGTCCTTTTAGCAGTGTCATATAGAAATGAAAAGTGGAGGGTAATGTTATTATAGAAAAGCTGATAATCAATTTAGGTTTGGCAGAAAAAACATTTTTAAAGGAGTATGGCATACTATTATATGATAATAAATCCAATAACTATTGATGTATGTATTTGTAGCCAAACTGGTAATACTCTTGCTGTATCAAAATAAAGTAAGGTCATCAAGAAATATTATTGAAGAAGGGTGGAAATGTTACTGAAGGAAAACAGTGTTAAATACACACATAAATAAAAGTGTTTGAGTCAAAGATGGACATAAGTGAAAGCACAAATCAGACTAGTCAAGGTGATTAGGTTCAAGAATATAATATCTGAGATTGTGAAAAGAGAAAGCCTGTAAGTAGGTAAGAATGTTCCACATAACTGATTGGGGTCTTCTATATGGAGGCTGGGATGGTCCCTACAGTAGCCGCTATAGGACAACTGCTATACAGGTCATGGGATATCTTTAATGCAGGTTGGGACATCACATATTCCAACTGGGATGGCATGGGCCACAGTGGTTATAGGGCATCCCAAATATAGGTTGGGATGGTCCCACAGTGCTCATGGGACAATCCCATATAGGCCAAGGGATATACAACATGCAGGATAGAATTATCCAACAGTGGTCATAGGTTTATGAGAAATGGTTTACTGATATATCTTGAAGATATTATATCTGGTGTCTTGCCTAAATCCCAATCCATTTGTGACAAAGGTATTGTTGGTATATTACACTCACTCTATAGATATAATTCTCTCTTTCCTATTCTACCTTCTTTTTCCTTCATGAATTGACCGCTTTTCTTTGACATTACATAAGCTAATATTTCCCATGCTTACTCCAAAACTCGTAGCATTCTACCTTATACAAACCTCAGTCTCTTGATAATAAGACTGAGGTATGTCTGTCTACTCTACAGTTCTCATTATATCATTATACTCACATTAAACCATCAGAACATCTCTTTTATAGGTAGTTTACTATTCAATAACAGTCTCTTGAAAATAAGACTGAGAACATCTCTTTTATAGTCTTCTCATAGCCTCACAATATTGGATTTAGCCATGTGACCTCACATAGCCACCTGACCACAGGGAGTGCATAAAAGCAAAGTGGACCAGCCGGGGATTGAACCCAGGACCTTTGCCTATATATAGTGGTGCTCTAACCAACTGAGCTACCAGCCCTTGTACTAATGTCAACTCATGACATGTGTTGTCTAACAAGGCTAACAGGCTTTGACCTTGACTATTCCAACAGGTATATAGGGAGTTAACCTTGGAAAGTCTAGTCACTGCCAGATTTCATGTTTAACACTTGACCCATAAGCTTCAGGTCTCCAAAACACAATATCCTTCATCATTATTCAGAGCCAATGAGTCAGATAGAGTTGGATTATCAGGCATTTACTCTGTTACTACCTCTCCAACCTTTATCCTAAATCTGGTCTATTTGTAGGCAGTTGGCTCCAGATATACTATGGAAGATTATTGTACAAGAAGATTAAAAGGCTGAATTCTGACACAGGAGTATATAATACATCAGATACCTCAGAATCAATTCTTCCTCAATTTATAACCATGTGCAGTTGGTTCAACACTTTGCAACCCTAGACCAACTAATTTGGATTTTCCAAACAGTTTACTTTATTCAGCCATATTAGAACCCTAGGCAACCGGTGCCAGTGGTTGCACCTTATTGCAGCTACCTGAACATCTGTATGAAAATTGAGTGAAGATTATAAAGGTATTTTGTCTGTATAAGTCTATCCCAAAGTACAACACAGCAGATGGTCTCTGGCCCTTGAGAGCTCTAGTTTTAAATATAGTCTCCAGCAACCATGGATACACAAAACAATACCAGATTCCAACAGGTGAACATATTATTGCCACCAAGTTCAGGTATGGTATATCCAAGGAACACTACAGGACCGTCCCACTTTACACATGGGATATCCCATAAGCACTGTGGGACCATCCCATGATCACTGCAGGACTATCCTAGAATGTAGAGGAGGATAATTCCACACACATCACATCCCCAGAACAACTCCATAGCCAAATATATATGTAGTATTAGTGGGGGAGTTCAGAGTACTTGTAATGTATGTTTTGATCCATAGGTTCACCAGTGCTAGACTGCAACTGTCTGTTACACTAAATTACAGGCTTGCTATTCCTAGATACTTGTACATAAGACTTGCACATAATAAGCCTTGTCTCAGTACTCACCTCAATAGATACCCTGCTATATTATTATGTTGACTGCACTGAAAAGTGGTGCAATTGCTTTGCCAAATATAGGTTTTGTTTCACCATCTGGCAACACGCGCAATGAACCTACGGTCTGGAATGACTGAAAATATTACTTTGTATTCCCGTAATACACCCACAGCCATTGGGAGGCACATTGTCTTACTACTAGTACATTAGTATAGTGAGATTTACTTGTAGACACAGCCACAGGGGGTGTTTCAGCCAGTCTGAGATTGAAGTCGCCGAGCCTGAGAGAGGTCAGATAGCAATGAAACTTTGTATTTTTTTTTGGAAGGACATTTATAGCAGCTACAGTGGGCCACATATTATTGTATCATTCAAATTGTGACAAAATATTTTATCATGTTGTCATTTGATAGCCAGCCCTTGCATAAAGTTGAGATATTTTAGACATATAAACTCAAGTTTGTTATTAGTTAAATCAAACAGACATGTTTTATGTGATAGTTATCTTGATTTTGTGTTCATAGTAAGTTATTCATGATATGCTGTAGCAAAATGAAAAATGTGCAAAATTAACTCTAATATTAGCAAAGTCTTTGTATTGTATT